AAATTACAAAAGTGGGTTTTTTAAGTATTAGATTCACAGTGAATTTTTTAAAGTGTTTCCAAGCTTCCCAGTCCTTGAATAACTCCTTCAAAAAAAAAAGGGGTGCAGATTCTATCACTAGTTCCTTGCGATTTTCCAGAGCTATTTACATATATGTTTATTTATGCTTGTACAGACTTGTAAGTATAGGCACACATAGCCTCCTCCCTTTTTACCCAAACAGTGGTATACTGCACACAATTCTGACCCTGGCTTGTTTCACTCAGTTTGCCATGGAGACTGTTCGACATCAATACATGCGTATCTCCCTCTGTCGTTTTAAAAGCTGCATATTATGTAGTTACACGGATGCCCATATGTTAATTAACCAGGCCCTGTATGGGTTGACATTTAAATTCATTCTAGCCTTTTGTTATTAAAATAATGCTGCAGTGAACATCTTTGAACTATGTGTTTGGACATGTATATCTCTTGAGTAAATGTCTGGCAGTTGAATTGCTGGGTGAATGCTTTTTAAAATTTTGGTGGATCTTGCCAAATTGCCCTCCAAAGAGGTAATTCCAATTTACACTGTGACCAGCAACATGTGAAAGTATTTACTTCCCTTGACCCCCACCAATAGTATAGATTTTCATCTTTGTCAATCTTATTTACTCAACAAATATTTACTGAACATCTGTTAGGTGCTGGGAATATTGTAGGCTCTGAGGATACAGCAGTGAATGAAAGAAACAAATGTTCCCACTCTCTTGGAGCAAACATTCTAATAGGGGAGTTAGACAAATGAAACAAGACATTTATTTAGTGTATTAGAAGTTGATTTGGACTATGGAGAAAAATAAACCAGGGAGAGGGGTTAGAAGTGCCAGGAAGTCATATGAGTGTGTGCACGTGTGAGGTTGTGTGTGTGTGTGTGTGTGTGTGTGTGTGTGTGTGTGTGTGTCCTGGAGGGAGGGGTGGTGCCTGCTAGTTTTAAATGGGGTGGTCAGCCAGGGAAAGCCTCCTGATATGGTTACATTTGAGCTAAGACTTGAGCAAGCTGGCCCTGATATCAAGGGGAAGAGCACTTCAGGGAGAGTGCAGACAGTGTGCAGAACCCCAGAGGAGGGAGAATATAATCTGGAGGGTGCCTGGAAAAGAGCAGGGGGGCCCTGGGGAGGAGTGGGCCAGGAGGAAGGAAGAGTCATATGAGGTGATAGCATATGGGACCTCGTAGGACTCGGCAAGGACTCCAGATTTTGTTCACTTTGAGCTGAGCAAAGCTTTGGAGAGTTTTGAATAGAGGGAGTAACATGGTCTACCTAGATGGTAAGAGGACCCTTTGGCTGCTGTCTTGAGAAGAAACTGGGTGTTGAAGGCTGTTTTAGGGAGAGGCAAATGGAGGCCATTCTAATGATCCAGGTGACAGACGACGATAATTTGGACCAGGGAGGAAGCAATTACAGGTGGGAAGAAACGGTTGGACTCTAGATAGAATTGAAGGCAGAGCCAAAGAGACTGATATCAGATTGGAAGTAAAGTGTAAAAGAAAGAACAGTGAGTCTGAGTTTGGGGTTTCCAAGCTCTGAAAGTCAAAGTGTCATTGATTGAGCTAAAAAAGGGTATGGGAGGAGTGGGTTTGGAGGGGTGGGGAGGAAGAGCTAGAGTTTATTTTCAGAAGTGTCAATTCTCATGGGCAGTGTTTTCATTTTAAAAGTGTGTTACTCCATTTAAGTGTGTCCTTTTCTGGCTACATTATGAGGCTGAAGGAACTTATCAAGTGCATATTTATTGGAAGGCTGGCTACTGAGGGTTAAGGCAGGTTGAGAGAAGTTTCCTGAGGGCTCTGACTTAGCTGGGGAGACAGGATCTGGACCCATCATGAAAAGTTAAGAGGATGGACAGGGTACCAGCTCTCACTGGGCAGCACAAGGCTGTGGGGTCAAGCTGCGCTCCATGTCATTTGTTACTGACAACCCTGCCAGCATGGAGGCTGAGGGTTGTTCTTGACGGCAAACTCACTGCTGGCTGGACGATCCCCTTGGTAGAATGCACTGTGTCCTGAAATTGGTTTTTGAACTTGAACCCACTCACCTAGGTTCAAGTAGGAAGTGGGCAGAGGGGGCTGCCAGCTAGAAGAAGAAATCTAGGATTTGACAGCTACTGTTAACTATTGGAGCTGTAATTGTTGAAAATGGAGGAGTCAGGGAAGGTATTCAGCTCCTGGAAAATATAGGTAGGCTCTGCCCCTTGACTAACCTTGATCTTAGACAAGTCACTTAATTTTTCCAAACCTCAACTTTCTAATCTGTGAAATGGAGATCATGAGTCTCACCCTACCTACTAGACACAGTAGTGAGACTCAAATGAGATTGTTTTGATTACAGGAGTAGCAGAATTCAACACAATTGACTAAATCCAAAGAGAATAGGCCTGTTGAGCCAATGTCAGTTCCAGCACTATTTGGCTTGCATATGACAGTCTTTCTTCTCACATGTGAACCTCCGCAATGTGTGGACATCTTTTATGTGGTCGGTTTCAGACAGGATATGTTTGGAAAGCCATAGAACCATGTCTCTTTAACAAGCTTGATCAGGAGGTTAACGCTCTGCCTTGCTAAGGATCACATGTGGCGTTTGCCTGCTCTAGCAACTATGAATATTTTAAATTTAATTTTACATGTTAAAACTTATAAATGAAACAGTCCTCTAAAAAGTTGAAATACTACAGTTAAAGTTCTCTCTAATAGGGACCACAGTCCATAGTCCTGTCTCCTTTCTAGCATCCTCAGGGTAGCTATTATGATTAGCAGACTACAACTTCTTCTGGATACACATACATGTATGTACCCTGTGATGTATATATAGTATCATTGCATATGTTGTTATTTTTTGGTAGTGAGTTTGGTTTTAATATAAAAGGTATGCATTCATCTACCTGCAAGCTTTTTCCATGTAATAATATGTCTTGGAGACCTAGCCTAACTAGTGCACAGGATTATACCTCACTCTTTTTCACCTGACGTGAGTATTCTATTGATTAGTTTTCTAAGGATTATTATTGTATCTGTGTTTCCAAAGTATTCACCTCCCCAGAAGTTAAATACCTTCATGACTTTCCTGTTTTTTGGTAACTTGAGAAACGACAATGCTACCAAACCCTCCAGCTTCAGCCTGAAGGTAGCGGAGACATTTTGGCAGCACCATTTCCTGTTTCAGATTTCATCCTCAGGACAGCAGCAAGCCTTCCTTTTTGTTTTCAGAGTGATGCTAGATTGTTTCTACCGCCTGCATTGATGCCAGCACCGCCCACCACTGGCAGCAACATCTGACATTTACCAAGAGCCCTTGGGCACCAGATGTCAGGGGAGTGGGCAGTCCCCTGGGGCACCTGGTGACTCACAGCCCCATCAGCTGCTTGTTTACAAGCCAGCCTGTATGTCTCCATGGCAGGGAAAACTCTAGAGTTTGCTTTGAAAACAAGCAGTATAGCTGGAAGTCCTTCTTCTTTAAGAATTTACTGATGACTTCGGAGAGTTGGAGGAAAAGGCACATGCTAGCAGGGCAGGAAAAACGAGAAAATCAGAATACTTAAGTTCCAACACCATGTCGTTAGTACACTCCACAGAAATGCTACGCTTGCAGCAATATAGCACAAGCTGGTGTCAGTCAATTATTCATTCAAGAAATATTTATAGAGCCTGGTACTGAGGATACCATGGGTGAGATTCAGTAGGTGAACTAGAAGGTGGGTTCCATTCGTGAAGATGGGCACTGTGTAATTCTTTGCAATATTCCAACATCTGAAATAGTACAGACTCATCAGAGGGATGTAATAAATGAAAGATATGCTATATCACAACTTCCAGAACAGTGTAGCCACGTGATAGACATCTAATGAAAATGTTGAATAAACATGTGTATGAAAACAGA